TCATCTACAATTCAAGAAACCTAGTAGAATAGAAGATTGATTTGACATATCTCAGAAGGTTTTAGACAGTCAATTTTTCTATTGCAGGCACTCATCATTTTTTTAAAATTTAAATTCTTTATTGCTTAATGTATTACATAAGTCTCCTTTTTCCCCCCGTTGACATCTCCCCGGCTGCCCCCAACCCCCAGCACATCTCCCCCTCCCCCCCCCCCGTCTGTGTCCATTGGTTATGCTCAGATGCATGCATACAAGTCCTTTGGTTGATCTCTTACCCCATTTCTTGCATTGTTGTAGAATTATTTTAGGGATCTTTACTAAGTAGCTTAGCAATTTTTTTAACATCACCTGTTTTTTAAAAATTGGTATTACTTATTTTATGGTACAACTCTTCAACATCATATCAAAGATTTCTAAAAACTTTGTACTTTTGATTGCTATTTTTCCCATACTCTTTTGATATGAGGTTTACCTAACTTTAGGAGCTCAGAATAATATATAAAATAATACTTTCTTACTCTCTTCTTAACTAAAATGGACTTTCTAATGTTAGGTCATTTGTCTACATGGAGAAGATATACACAAGATATTTTAGTAATTTTAATTCTGTTGTTTATTTATACACAGTCAGCACCAAACTTTATCTTGCTCTTTAAGCCACGAGGGACATTATTCCCTTTTGTCCTTAACATTTTTGTCCATGTGGGATTTTTAACTCCTCAACAGCAATGATATGATTTTTTTAAAAAATTATTCTGGTAAGTTCCTTTTTCTACATTTGTGTGGGGAAGGGAAAATTTTTCCCTCTTTTCATTCTTACTTATGCTAGCTAGTCTAATAATAAAATGAGATGAGACAGATTTAGAGAAGATGGGGGTTCCATAAAAATATGGGGCAGTTGAGGCTTATCTGCCATCCTGAGCTAAGGAGAAAAGTAGGGGTTAGTGGTTTGGGACTTCAAAGGGGAGGAAGGCAATTTACATGGAGATGGAAAAGCAAATGTTTGGTAAATACATGTTCGCTGGACCATCTTTAACAATGGGACCCAGAGAGGACCTTGATCAAATGGGCCTTGCTAGGTTCCTCCCTGTCTATCACACTTAGTTCATATTGAACTACAGTTATCTGTGATGCTAGCTCCCTTCCTGGAGCAGGTCTTGCATCTAAATTCTTTTAGGCAGTTAGCGGGGAGATGAAAGGTTCTTCCTGAGTCTTTCCTTTCTTAAAAGTAACCAGCTTAAGATAATTAAGATCTCCCCAAAGGCACATTTTGAGGTGGTAAACTATGCCCCTCTCCCTCATTTATCTATAAGTATTTCTAAAACCTGAAAATGTAATCTTTCTCCTGTTCCTTCTTTTTGGACAGTTGTTCTCGGTTTTGGAATGTCTGAAATTTTTATTTTTTGGTTGCAACCACAAGGTTGGGTACTTCTGGCGTCCAGTGGGTAGAGGACAGGGATGCTGCTAACCATCCTGCAATGCACAGGACAGCCCCACACAAAGAAGCATCAGATTCCAAATGTCAATAATGCCGACATTGAGAAACCCAGCTTCACAAGCCTCATATACTGTATCATGGCCAAATGCATGATTACGGGTTAGAATTTTTGTTTTAGAACATCCTGAAATCTCATGTGCCTTCATTCCCTTTGTTTATAATTTTGGCCTATAGGATCACACCTAATTTTTAATTGACCTTTCTGGAATCTGCCTTTATAAAGTCTAGGAATCATGATCTTACTGGATTTTCCAGTTTTCCCACCTTTGGTTGTTATCAGTACCAAAATGACAATGGTCGCATTATCTTTAAGCTCATGTCACGTCATATTACTAAGTAACCGTTAGTCTAAATGACTCATAGAGTATTTCCCTCATTGCTTTTACTTGTGGCTAAGGAAGGGCTCATTAGGACAAGACAATACTATCATGTTTAATTACCGTGCTCCTGATTTCATGTCCAAACTCACTCTTCAATAATCATTTGTTTATTCTAGAGCTATTTATTCAACACCTATCATATTCCAGAAACTGTGTTATGTTGGGAATTTAGCAGTGACTAAGACAGAAACCTATTTTTGTAGTGATTGCATTCTAGTGGAAAGCAGAAGATCCAAAATCCCGTTCCTTCAACCATTTTTCATCCTGGTCTATTATATGCTCAAAACAAAACAAAGCAGCAGAATCTGGTGCATTATAAATAGTTGCAAAAGCTTGTTGTTGTTGTTTTTCCCCCATGTAAACCCTCTATTTTTGATGGAATGCTCAAAACCTTTTCATTGATTTCTTTTTTTTATTTAATCCACACCCAAGGATCTTTTTCCATTGATTTTCAGAGAGAATGAAAGGGAAGCAGGAGGAGGAGGAGGAGGAGGAGGAGGAGGAGAAGGAGGAGCAGGAGGAGGAGAAGAGAGATATGTGAGAGAGACATATCAACTGGTTGCCCCCCGCATGTGACCCCACCAGGGGTGGGGAGCAAACCTGCAATCGAGTTATGTGTCCTTGACCAGATATTGAACCTGTGACCCTTTGGTCCATGGACTGATTCTCTAACCACTTAGCAAAACTTGCCAGGACTTCATTTATTTTTAACCTTCACTTTTTGGCAGATGTCTCTATTCTTAACTTGCTCAGTGTGCATTCTAGAGAAGACTGACTTTGAGGTAAATTTTGAATGAATGAAAATAGAATGTTTGATGAATTAAAATGATCTTAGTATGAAAAGTGTCTGGCATTTAGGGAGAAAAAGACTTAGAAGTAAAGATGGAAAATTGTGAGAGGAAGAGACCAATTGTGCCTGAAATCTATTTCATTTGCTAAGTCAAAGAAAAAGGGAAAAGGAAAGAGAAGAAAGGGAAAAGAAATAACAAAAATAAGGAAAGAATATTTCCAGTTTAACTGTACCTCTGAGTAATTCTTTTTTTCTGCTGGATATTTCTGTCTCTGTTGAATTCTTTAGAATTCCTTACTTATTTTATAATTTACTCCTCAATAGTTAGGTAGTAAATTGGTCAATATTGGCCAATTTCATATGATCCAACCTAATATATATATTATAAAAAACAAATCTTATTTTCCCAAACATAATTTTATATGATAAAAGTCTGACATAACTTAATAATGCTGAAATGTAAATGTATTGGCTGTTTAAAAGAATTATAAAAAGATACCACTAGAAAAATAGTTTAGTCATTAAGAGCCTTGAGCAGAGGTCAACAATCTATTCTGCGGGCCAAATCCAGCCTACCACATGGTGTTGTTCAACCCATAGGGTAAGAATTGTTTTTACATTTTTAAAATGTTGAAAAACAATAAAAGAAGAATACTTCATGACATGAAAAATATATGAAATTCAAATTTCAGTGTCCATGAATAAAGTTTTTTTAAGAATAAACCAAGCTCGTTCATTTATATATTGTCTTAGGCTGCTTTCCTTCTGCAAAGACAGAGTTGAGTATTAACACAAACTTTATGGCATAAAATACTTATTACTTGTCCCTTTGCAGTTGACCACCCATGTCCTAGAGTCAACCTTTTACATTCAAATACCAATGCCACCACTTCTTAGTCTGTGATTTAAGTAAGTTACTTAACCTTCGTGAGCTTCAGTTTACATGTTTTAAACTAGGCATACTTATAATACCTTATAAGATAATTATGAGTGTCTGGTACATCATAAGTACTCTATAAATGTTACTATAATTATTAATATTCTTCTAGGGTGCCATTGTAAATTATTGGGAAAAAATCTACAGAAGCTCATAGCTTGGTCAGTGGGGCTCAATGATTGAGCATGGACCTATGAACCATGAGATCACTGTTAGATTCTGGGTCAGGGCACATGCTTGGGTTGCAGGCTAGATCCCCAGTGTGGGGTAAGCAGGAGGCAGCGGATCAATGATTCCCTCTCATCACTGATGGTTCTATCTCTCTCTCCCTTCCTCTCTGCAATAAAAAAATACATATATATATATATATATTTTTTAAAAGCTCATGAAGCTCAGATGGGCAATAATTGCTCCATCATCATTTAATGATATAACAACAGTGTTCTGTGGACTTAACCAGCGTTCTGTGGACTTAATATATAATGCAACCACTTGCTCATTTGTTCATATAAATGATTATACTATTTACATCTCACTCATTTCAAGTTAAAAATATTAAAGTTTCTAAATGTGCAAGTGTTAAGCTGCAAACTAGGAGCTGTTTTCTCCCAGTTTTCTCCCTGGGATAATGAACATCTGCTGAAACAATTTGTCCAACAGAGCATTTGCTTCTGCTGGCCTTTTTTTTTTTTTTTAAGAAATGGAAAAAGGATCATTGTTTAACTTCAACTCTCCTCATCTTCTACACCAAGAAACAGTTTCTCTTAGGACTAGATAGTTCTAGGATTTAGAAAAATAGAGGGGCTTCAAGTTTTTATTTATTTTTTCCTCTTTTCAAGTAAGGGTAAGTCGAATTTTACTTTGAGTGTCACATTCTTTTTGTTCATTCTAATTTGAATCCTGTTTGAAAGACCACAGGCTTTTCTAGACAACTTAAGATTTCCGCAGTGAACTGAGCCCTACAGCACTTTCTGAGAGAGACTGGGAAGGTGGGGTAGTGGTTTATCACACAGCAGAAAATGGGTCAAGTTTTAAATTCAAAAGGCTTTTCAAGAAATAGCTCAGATCTGTTACTTTCTGTGTGCAAAGTCAGAGGGGTCTGGAGGGAAGATGATCCAAAATCTTGAAAATAAGATGCTCCCCACACTAAAATCCAATAGCATCCTAGAGATAATGGGTGGTTAAATAGCACCACTGATAAACTTCAAGTCTAGGATTTATCAGTCAGGTTACCTCTCCAGCTTTTCTCCATTGGTTTCCCCCAGGGAAAGCAGAGGAGAGGACACTTCAAGCACTTAGCTTTACAATGTGTACTTAAGAAGTCAGTGGATAATAACTATTAGAGTTCTCTGGGTAAAGCAGCTTCAATGAAAGGTGCTTCTTTTGTTTCCTTACTTTGAAGTAGAGCTTCTGGTCCTTGGGGGATTAAACCATGAGTCACATCTGAAATGAGGAAGGAAAAGTGTTGTCAAATTTCATGCTGATTCATAACAATAAATGCAACGAGTGGTTCACAGTATTTCACTGGGGCAGGGAGAAACAGGGGAGACCAGAGAATTAAATTTGAGCATTGAAGAGTTGCTCTTTGTTATAAAAGGTGGCAGAACCTTGCTGTTTTTCACACAGAATGAATTCTATTATATAGAAATTATTCCTGATTTTTTTTTCAATTACTGTTTTTGTTTATAAAATGGTATAAAAAGAAAAGGTTCACCTACCAAGTGCAAAATATTTTGCCACCTGCTGTGTATTTTGCCAGCTAGTTAAAATCTTTAGCATTCTTCAGTACAAAGCCCTAAGATGGTTGTGGGGAGGAGGGAAATTTTCCTCTGTTAGAATCTTTTGGATGATAGTCAAACACTTCTGTGATTTCCTTTACCATTTTTAGCTCCTTTTGGCATCACTTATTTCAAGTATGCCTCTGGAATGTCAAGAAGATGCCAGATATTATTTTGAATGTTGTATTTTAATATAATATCAATCTAAAGTTGTTCCTAGAGACTTCAAAATTAGACTGCTTCTTTCTTATCTTTTAGCTAAAAGAAAAGCTTTAAATAAGAACTGAATGGAGCTTTTGGTCAGTCTCCTACCTGTGAAAGTAGATTAGAAAGGAATTTTTATCCTCCAGCTACAGGCAGGAACAGATTGACATGTGTGGACATGAGGAGGGTTGAGGATTGAGGAAAACCAGAGGCAGTCTTATCACTTTAGGTATCAAATGGTCCAAATATTTGGACCAAAGCCATGACTTCATTGAACTTGTTTTGTGCTGGATATTGGCCTTTGAGTCTTCCTTATTTAAACTGTTTAGAATAATGATTCTGGCAATACTTTGGAATAATTTCTATGGTTATTTCCTCAGTGAAATAAGCCTACCATTAGAAATTCTAGCATGGCTGGCTGGCTATTCTAATTCTCTGAAACAAGCATGTGAGATTTGTTGTGTTGGCACCTAGAAGGAAAGAATGATAGAGCAGGGAGAGACCTCATGAGATCATCTTATTCTAATGTATTCGAAAGTCATTCAAAATAGGTGGTTCTTTAGTCAAAGGTTTCCAAGGGATTTGTTATACAGGCAATTGCAGTATGACTAGGCCCATAACAATAAAAGAGGGTTGCTTGCCTTTCTGATCAAGAATCATAGCAATATCAAACAAAGGATGAATTCTTTCCTAAGAAGCTTATGACTAATTCAGGTCTCTACAGGCATTCCAGGAACAAGATTCTTTCTGGTTACCAAGATCATAAGTGTGATTTTGGCCCAGAGGCTTTAAAACCAAAGCATGTTATGTTGTGTCTCCCTTGTTCTGTGGGTCAGTTCCTCTTTTCTTTCCTATGCTCTAGATTTTGTCTTCTATCCTTATTATATTGAGAAACAAGTACAAGTATTTTCAGTTGGTTTACCTGAATTCATCTCTTATAGGACCAACATATTTGAACTAACAATCACAAAAAAATAAGTAACATAGAAAACATCCCTGCTCTATATTTTCTAGCTCTTCTCCCATTTTTTTTTATTTTTTATTTTTAGCTTTGTGAACTTGGAAAAGTCATTTAAATTCTCTGGGTTTCAATTTCCTCTTCTGTATAAAACAAGAAATTGAGTCTAGATGACTGAAAGAGTCACTTTTAGTCCCTACTGTCTATAATCCAATCTATTATAAAGCAAAATTGTGACCTTTATTATGAAGAAAAGACAGTGGGAGGGAAACACGTTAGGAATTTTTTCTCAATTCTCCCACTGCCACAAATGCTACAAACAACTGAAATTGGTGACTTAAAACTTTATTAGCTATTTTAATTATTTGGGTAAAGTTGCACACAAAGCTTATGTATTTGAAAGGGAGAGAGAACCTAAGCTACAATCTTATTTTTTCCATTTTTGACCAGTTTCAAGACTTGGAACCTGTTTTATTTTAGAATAAAATGCTTAATAATATCATGTGCTAGTTTCTTAGGAAATAACAGCTAACTAAAATTAACATTAGTTTTGATGTCTTCCTTCTAATTAATAAAATATAACTTTTCATTTTTTTCTCCCATATTTTTGTGATAAACGTGCTCACTCCTACAAATGCCCAATATTTCTTTCTAAAACTTCTTCATTGAAATCCACCCCCAAATTTCAAAATACTCAGGGAGAAAATATTGCTAAAGATTTACTTTTAATGATTCCATTCCATACACAAACAAAAAGAATATTTTCTCTTAGAGTCCAACTCCTTACCTATGGCTTTGAGGGTAGAGAAAGGAGGAGAATATGTTATTGCTATTCTTGAGATTTCCTCAAATTCTAGAGATAACGTTGATATGAGAAAACCATTGGAGAGCTCGGATAATGAAATATCAAATTTTGGTTAGACCGTGAAATTAACAGACTGGGAAAAGGAGCTAATATAAAAGGACTGGTTATGTTTCATTTCCTGAATTTTTATGTCTAAAAACAAAAACATTTGTCCACTTCCCATTTTTGTAAAGCTATTGCAAAAATTATCTGCCAATGAAAATCTTAAAGATGTGAGTTTTACTTTAAAGTTGTAGGTGGAAAGGCTACTAAATTTATACCAAATTGCCACTGTCGACTTGGTTTCCTGGGTAAGATCAAGGGGCATATCTTGTCTATTAGATGATGTTAGAATCAGCCTTAGTGACAAGTTAAATCTTTCAATTTCATTTCAATTGTCACCTGCTTAGTAGGGCAGTGCTGACAGGTTTGGGTTAGCTCACTGACACCACGGACCTTTGCAAATAATTGTGCATGGACAGATAAGAGTTGCAAGAAGAGCTGGTAGCTAATTACAATGCTCATGTTTGCATTTTTCTATCACAACTGAAAAAGTACATTTAATTTTAAAATTTCCACAAAATCTATAAAAACCTGATTTATGCAAAGTTAAAAAAATCATATCCAAGGTATAAAATCAACATAATGTAAATAGGTTTATACCTTTTCCTGGTAGAATACACAAATTCAGAGGATAATCTAAACCAAGCATCTGCAACTTTAAACTTAAAAAAGCCACTCATTTTCCAGTTTGTTTTTATGGTATATTCTATTAAGTCTAATTTGAAATTTAAGAGAATACTACAGATCACATTGATCTCAACAGGAGGAAAGAAACGATCTAATTTTTCATTAGAATTGCTGGTGGTAACCATAGAGCCAATAACATAGCAAATACAATAATGTCTGTGAAAATCACAAATGAAAGACATAATTTTTAAAAGGTTAGCCCATGAGGATAATTTTCAGGTACAATCATTTATCTTTTAAACTGCTCTGCTTCTAGGAGGTCTCTTTGGGGAATAATTCAAACAATAAGACAACAAACTTTAAAAAAATTAGGTAAGACATTCCAATATATTTTTCTTCACAATATATTTTACTGCTTATTAGATATTCCAGGTAAGAATGTATAGTTTTTTAATACTAGAATTTAGACAATTTCATTAGTTCAAGAGTCTTAATTAAGAAAAACCTATACCTTGCTGAGCATTAAGAAGTCATAATATTAAAAATTGTACAGTATTATTTTCTTTTCCAGGCAGTATTATTGTCCTGTGTTCCAACACTCAGCTCTTCCCCCTAATCGGGACATCTCAGACATGACACAGATAATAGCAATTTTAACACTCTGAATACTGGGTGTGTATCTGAGATAACCTACATTCCCAAGTAGAGAAGTGCTTTCATTTTTTGCATAGAAATGAAGAAAAAGAATGGGGAAATTCAGAAGTTAGATTTCTGAAAAGATAATTGAAAAGATTCTCATTTAGGTGTTTACTCATGCATCAGCTGCCTGGTGGCCCTAGCCATCCAGTTTGCTCAGAACTGCCTTGTCCTACAATAGCTGGCCAGAAATGCCCTGCTTTTGCCCCTACACTGAGTCTCAGAACATGAAAAATAACTTTCTTGTTTCCCTGCTGCTACTTCCCATCTTCCACCCCACTTCCCAGTAGACGTGGTGAATGTCAGGAGGCTTGTCCTCCCTCTTTACTTTGTTCTCAGTTCCCACTGCTGTTGAATTATCTCTCCCACGTCCTTCCTCTTACAGCCGCCCTCTTTTGTCCATTCTGCATGGACCCAACTATAAAACACATGTTTTTATTTATTTCCCTGAAACACATTCACACCAAGCAGTTGGGTTAAATATTTGGGTGTATATTTTGGAATACGAGGACATTATATTACAGCACAGCAGGGCAAGTAATGGTAAAGTGAACATCGGACATCCTGTTCATTGGTAGTACTTGCCACTACGCACACTTTGCTCAGGACTGAGCTCCTGATGTCTTGCTGGACCATCTTCCCTACCTCCTGTTAGGCCCCACTGCTTTTCCTGGTCTTGGAACACTTAAAGCATCCATCTCTGGCTGGAGCAAAACACTGTTCTTACCTTATTATGCAAGCAATTTTATTTTTTTGTCCAATTTTTAGCTCATTTTAGACAAGTTCCAAATGCAGAATCAAAGATGGCTCACCAAGATGGTTTTGCTAAACAAGGCATTTTTTTTTTTCATGAGGACTTCTGTTGCTTGCTTTGGAGTTATCTGCCCGCCCCACCACCTACACATACATACACACACACACACACACACACACACGATTTTGTAGTACATTTTACATTTTGAAGGCCATTCAGCCAACAGAGTATTAGGTGTTGAAGAGATCTGGGATTCATTCCCATGTTTCCTTAATCCCTGCTAACCATATCCAAATTCCAAGTCCTGGGTGATTTTACTTGATACATCTTCTCTCTGCTGCTACCCTAATCCAAACCAGCACTGCCTTTTTACCAGGGTTAGTATAACAGCCTCCTAACCTACTGCTGGGAGGAAAATTTAGCCTCTACTGACTTAGGTCTGAGTGCCCTGGGGCCTTCAAAGTAATTGAAAGTAGATTAACAGGAGAAAAGTCTATTTTCACATTCATTTAGGGGCAC